TTTTTTTTCATTCCCTTCAGTTTCTGCTTGAGTTCACCTCTTTCTGGTAATGCCTTACTGATGGCAGCCACAGTACCCACTGCAGTCTGACTCTTTCTGCCCACTTCTCTGGGTACTTGGTCTGCCTTCCAAGTTATTGCAGATGTTTTATGATGTTGTAGCAGGGTTCCCTAGCTTGCTACAGTATCCATTTCCTTACTACCCGGCACTGAGGAAGTAAACATTTAAACATTTTTTTATAACATTATTTCCACTTCTGGCACCCATCTCTCTCTTCTCCATGATCTAACTGCTATATCACAATCATCATGCCCCAATGGCTTCTTTACTTTTTAAATTCAACTTACATTCCAATATGGGTGATTCTGTCTCTCCTTTCATTCAGAAACAAGTAGTGAAATAAAGTAACAGATTCATGGTCATATATTTCCTAAGTAGTGATATCAAGATTTGAACCCATATAGGCTCTGGGATACAAAGCCTAAATCACTTGTTAAAAATTGCATCTTTTAAGATATATTGCTTACAATTTGCCATTTTCAGTTCTTCTTTCTATGCTTCAGAGTTGTATATGCAAACCTCATGATCCTACAAATATTTTTGAAGTCAAGTTCTTCAAATATGACTGATCTTACCACGATTGATTTTATACAGTATCTTATTTGTAACTGTTTTCTAACCATATTGTGCTATTTTTCATTGAATCTCCTATGCTGATCTGGGTTTTCTTGGTTTCTATTTCTCTAATTCCTTACATACAAGAGAGGCTGATGGGTAACATTACAGTTTGTAAAGCATATTTTGAAGATATAAAAGATTTGATTATTAGACATCTTTATTTCCTTCCCATGGGGAAGAAGAGGAACTTGAAGATTCTGAAAAACAGGATTTCACTTTTATAGAGAAGTATCAAGACCTGCTCTGAGCTCTTTCAAGCCCTGTTCCTTCTCTCATTACTTAAGTGACAATGGGCTGCATTTGAAGAGGGTCAGTGGCAGAACAAGGTTCCCCACAAGGGGATTTCGAGGTGTTCTGAAAAGCTGCCTGATATAATCGGCGAAGGAGTTAGTCATGGCAGGCTGTCACGTCTCACAGTGGGAGTCACGGGCTGGTCGGCTTGGTAAACTTGCTTTTGATCTATGATTCCTTTAAAATACATGTTGTTTTTTCCACACCCTGTGTGTTTCTCAGCCTCAGGAGCACCTCCATGGATTTACACTAATCTTGTCTTACAGTAATGTTACCTCCAGATTTTCAGCACCGCCCTCCCCTTTCTGATGCTGTGGATACATTCACTTCTTCAAAAAAACTGAGTTAAATGCTCTTTGAAGTTGGTGCAGGATATTTTGACGGGGCTCTGACCTCAACCAACAGTGAGAGTTTCTTTGCACCAGACAGAAGACAAGTGCCTGTCTCAGACTCATGCACCAGAATGCGGAGCACCTATATTCACGTGAAAGAGAGACTCCAGGGACCTCCTCTCATGCCCTGTGATTGCCGCTCAATACATGCTCTCTCCACATCCCTAAAGGACATACACACACACTCAAGGGGAGAAGTGAACTGAGAATTGGGGGTATGCCCCATCTCTGAGATGAGTGCAGAAAAATCCACCTTTGCTGGAAGAGTTAAGAACGATTCAGGCATTTTCCTTCATCAGAAAATGTGGGAGACTGTTGAAAAAGGACGAGAAGAAAGGAAAATTGTTCAGACTCTACTTTCTCGGTTTCTGAACTGAACTTTTGCTCGCAGCAGGTGAAGGCAGGCTTCCTCCCACACCAAGACTTCCCCCCTGCTGGTGTGCAGTCTGCTAAGTAAACAGAGACTTTATACTGAGAAAGGAACATTTCTCTATTTTGGCTATGAGTTGTTATTTTTAAAGCTTCATCTTCCAAACATTTTCCCTTATCCTTGTTTATTTTTTCACTGGAAAGAAAATGTACCTCATTTGCAAAATTCAGCTAGATGACAAGGAAAACCCACTCCTAGGATGCCCTCTCCACTTAAGGCCAAGGGCCCCTTTGGAGAGACCACTATCTCATCCTCACTTTGAGCAATATGGCTTTTAAAATTTCCCCTGTACGTCCAGATTTCCATGGTCAACATGAAATGCACACAGCACTCGTATTCTAGATGCTTCTCCCTTGACAGACACTCATCTCTCTATTCATCAATATATATGTAACTAATACTTAAATATCATCCCTGCCAAATGCCACATAGCATTCTAAATATTTCACATTAAAAACACTTACTAAACTGTGTCGAACATACCGTGGCAAATGCTTCCATATTGACACAGATGAAATTGGTGGAGACTGACATTAGATGCAGAGATTCTTTCTGGACCTTTTCTGTGGATGGCATCTCATGTCATTGCACCTATGCTCCCAGTTTTCACCTCTTCATTTAAGATTCCCATTGCTTTCTTCTCTATGCCCTAATGTGGAGCACAGGACTGGTATATAATAGATCCTCATAATTTTGAATTAAAGAAAGGAAGACAAAGAAAACCTTTTTGTTAGGATTCTTCCTTCTAGTATGTAGGCAGTGTGGTTTGATAGGAAAGTTTAGAGTCCTAATTCCACTACTTGGACAACAGGAAAAATAACACTCTGGAAATGAATATCAAGAGTCCCTAGTCTATCTCAAGCCAGTGGTTTGTTCCAAAATGGTGTTGAGGACACCAACTTGCTACCTGAAAAAAAGTGTTAAGCTGAATCTTATCTTAAGACCACACCAAAACAAATCCCACAAGAGGGTAGGTAGCACAGCTATGTGAATACACCCAAATCCACTGCATTGTATTCTTTCAATGGGTGAATTATATAGCATGTGGGTATCTCTTAATAAAGTCATTATAAAAAATGAATACATTCCAGAAAATCAGAAATTTAAACATAAAAGCATAGAATGTTACTGAAAGGAAACATAAGATTTATGTGTTATTGGAATGGGGACTGACCTTATCCAGCAAGACATAGTATTCTAGAGCCATAAATGAAAAGTTTGATAAATCTGATCCTGCAATAATTAAATCATTTTAGGAAGAAAACACCAGAAACAAAATTAAAAAAAAAAAAGATGACAAACCATGGGAAAACCATATTAGAAATATGTATGACATGGCACTAATTACTATCATATATAAATATCTCTTAAGAATCAAGGTGGAAGGCTGGGGATGTGGCTCAAGCAGTAGTGCGCTCGCCTGGCATGCGTGCGGCCTGGGTTTGATCCTCAGCACCACATACAAAGATGTTGTGTCCGCCGAAAATTAAAAAATAAATATTAAAAAATTTCTTTCTCTCTCTCTCTCTAAAAAAAAAAGAAATCAAGGTGAAAATGACCAATAACCCAACTGAAAATTGTGGGCAAAGTACTACAGCAGGCAATTCAGAGGAAATTCTCATGTCAACATAGTTTCCTATGGAACTGGAGGTGTACCTTAGTGGTAGACCACATGTTTAGCTCTGGGTTCAATAGCCAGAATAAGGGGGGAAAATTATTCTACCAATAGCTTATTGGTACAAGCTCTTTGAAACCAATGTTTTAACTATCATAAATAAAAATATATTATGTCTTTTGTTCTAGCGATTCTAACTCTAATAATGTATTCTGTAGCTATCTATATGTGTCCAAGGGCATAAACATAGGATTATCATTTTGTGAAATGTTTGTAACAGCACAATACTTAGAATCAAGCTAAATATCAACTAAAAAAGAGGTGGATAAATAAATTGTCATATACCACTTAAGAATGTTCTGGTCAACAATGGACCACATGTATAATGGTGTTACCATAAGGTTATATTGCTTAGTGACATTGTGGCCATCTTAGTTTATCTAAACTCTATGATGATCATACAGTGACAGAATTGTCTAACAGCACATTTCTCAGAGTGTGTCCCCATCATTATGTGACAAATGATTGTATAGCATTCTGTTCAGTGATAACTGTTCAGTTGTTAAACTTGGTTAATAAAGAACTCCAAGATCTATTAATCAAAGACAAAATGAAGTCCTGAATTATGTTTCTGCTCATGTTTAAATGTCATGTGTTTTACAAATGACTGAATATGCACAGACTCTTTTAACTTATTCCTGTGTTTTAAAATTTTCAAACATATCATGCCCTCAAATGAATGGATTCTTTCCATATATAGTATCTCTTTATTTCTGAAACAACCCCACGGATAGGATATGGCCATGTGCATTTTTAAATATTACGTCTCATGACCTTTTGAATTTGCTTATTTAATAGTTGCAGCCACTAAGGTGAAATCCTTGACGCCAAGTTTCTGTTGGAAGGGGAGAAGGCCTGAATTTCTTTTGATGGTATAGGAGAAGCTTCATCAGCTACACAGGCCTACCTCATCACCTACAGCCACCACTCTATGTTCTTTCCTGCTGCTCTCTTTCTGTGTAGGACTTTCTTCTAGTTATGCATTCACATACTTACTTGAGGAAATCCTACATTCTCTTATGGTTAACTCAAATGTCACTTCCTAGGTACATTCTTCCCCACAGTCCTTTATAACACCAATGATCCAGCCCAGACTCACACCATAGTAAACTTCTTGGCACATTGGTATATTACTTGAAGGTCACGAGCATCTTGAGGGCAAACCCTCCCCTTTTATTCTCATAACTACTACAATATCTAGAATACAGCAACAGAGCAATAAACTGTATTAGAAAAAAAAATTGCCTGAATCTTAATTATTTTCAGTTACTATAGATTGAAGAACTCCACATTTAATGTCGTAGATTTGGCAACTAAACACCTTTTCTAGGAATTTGAAGTGAAGATGTTTATTGATGGAAAAATCTTTGCTTGTCTTGCCTTCTGGAATTCAAATGAATGTCCATGTTCCATTAAGAGGATGGGCTGCAGGTTTTTATTACAGATTTGGAGTCGGTAGCTTTTTATAAATGTAATTTGGGGTTTTGCAGAAACTTTCCTGTCCTTTAATGCTTCTAAAAATTTGTTTTTGTAGGAATCAGGGTAAATGTGTAGAGGGCATGGTGGAGATCTTTGACATGTTGCTGGCTACGTCGACCCGGTTCCGTATGATGAATCTGCAGGGAGAGGAATTTGTGTGCCTCAAATCTATCATTTTGCTTAATTCTGGTGAGTTGATGACATGTGAGAACTTAATGCTGGATTATTGGAAGAAATATCTGTTTGTACTTTTTAGCAAGATATGATCTACCCACTCCAAGGTCATGATGTCATAAATGGAAAGACATTATGCATGTTTAAAAATAACCCATCATCATTGTAAGTTTCTTGGGAAGCTAGAACAATGTTAGTCAGATATTAAAAGTGAAAATGATAACGGACAATCAAATGGCCTTTTGGTTGAAACATGCGCATCCTTTCTCAGAGTTAGGGATTTAAAAAATTAAAAATGGTGGATGTAGGTAATATATATTCATTGAGAGTTATGCATGTCAGAAGTAAGCAGACCAAGAGGCACTAATAAGAAGTTGTGATCTGTAGGCTGGGGGGATTGCAACTCAATGGTACAGTGTGTGCTTAGCATGTGCAAAGCTCTGGGTTCCAACCCCAGGAACCCTAAGAAGAAAAATTATGACTATTTCCAACTCCAGGTAATAAAGACAGTTATTTGAGACAGATCATGTTTCTGGTTAAAATGGATTAAATTAGCTTAAATAAACCAGCTACTAAAACTGAGCATCATGGAATGCAGCAGCAAGAGCATTTTTCACCTGCCCATGAAGTCTACTCTTGCTGTCCCGTCCTATTTATGTACTTGAGAAAGCTTAGCTGAGAGTAGCAATGGTTTGGCTTTGCTTTTCTGTTTTTCTACAGTGAGGCTGGCCGTGGCATGGAGTCACCACAGGCCACCCAGATGGAAAAGATGGCTCAGCCTGAATTAACACGCTTACTCCTCCCAGCCCCCTTCATGTGTGGGTCAAGAACTAGGTCTATAGCCTCAGGGACTGGAAGCCCTCAATTGAATGCCACTTGCTCAGTGGATACCTTGAGTGGGGACTGAACGCCCCCAGCCCTACTTTGTGCCTCCTACGTCATTCTTAGGGTGAAATCATAGTTATTTTGAAACCTCAGGTCCAATTTAGTTCCTTACACCATTACCTCTCACAGTCCGTTTGATCAAATAACAGCACTTCCTTGTCTTTCTTGTCTCTCCCTGAGGAATGCCAATCCCATCCCATCTCCCCAAACAATTTTCCACTTCTCTGGCCCCCCAGTGCTAGCAACTCACTGCCTAATGATTCCCACAGTAATCATGCTCACTTATCAACTAAAAAATGGAAATCGGTACTATCACAGGAGGCAAGGACTGCGTTACAGAGTGAAGTTCCCTGGAAGATACTGTGGTCTGTTCGGAGGAAGTGATTACCACCCCATTCAAGTTTCGGGTCTCACTCACAAGCATTGTGCCTATTCATTTGAGTCATTTGTCCTGTACATTGAAGGGTGCAGATCCCACAATGGCTCTTTATTGGATGAGAGTTCTGGGAGCAGTGCCACTCGGCTGCACAGTGCCAGGTCCTGAACCTGCTCCTCCTTTGGTGGAGGGGCTGGCACACACGCAGAGCTTTCATGTGGGAAATCTGCTAACTTCAGGGAAAGCGGGCCTAACAAGTGTTGGGACTTATTTCCCTCTTTAACCAGGAAAGAGGCTGGGTGTGGTGGTGCACACCTGCTATCCCAACTCCTCAGGAGGCTGAGGCAGGAGGAGTACAAGTTTGAGACTAGCCCAGGCAACTTAGTCTATGGCTCAAAACAAAACATAAAAGGGCTGGGAGTGTAGCTCAGAGGTAGAGTGCTTGCCTAGCGTGTGTGAGGCCATACATTCTGTCCCCAGCACTGAAAAATAAAACCCAAAATTCATAATCAGGGAAGGATACCCCAGACAGGAAGTGGCATTACTCAGAGTTGTAGAATCAACACCTGTGATTTATCTGCTCTTAGTAATGAAAAAATACCTCCTTCGGATCCAGATAGCCTTTTCCTGAATTTTGATTGTTTCTGTTCCTAGGACAGTGTGGGTTTTATTATTTTTTTAAACATTTGGTAAAAAAAAGAAAAAAAAGTCATAATATTACCACCAAAACATTAGATTCATAGACCAAGGATTTTTAAAATCCATGGAGAAAAACTTTCAGTTATAACCCAGGGAGAAAAACGTTCAGCCTTCACTGGAACGTTTTTACTCAAAGACTGGCCCTAGAACCTCAATACTGAATTTTTCATGGCAGGATTTGGCCCTTTCCATCTGACTCCTTGTCATGCGAGTTTTATACCCTGTCCTTGTTCCTTCATTTCTTAGTATCCTCTGTGTGCTTGCTGGCTCTTGAAGGGCTGGAACACTGTTTTGGAAATACGAGGCCCTATAATGTTGATAGAGTTTATAGTTTTCTTTTTCATGAGATAACAGTGCAGCAGCTTGGCAGCTTGTCTTTCCCATCAAGGACGGTGCTGCTGGCTCAAGGGAGCAGGAACAGAGCAGAAAGTAGTCTCTCAACCCTGTCACAAGTGAAACCACTCTTCTCAACACAAAAGTGAGCTGTTTTGGAAAAGCAGACACAGCTCCTGGTGTCTCATATTGTCCCCATCAAAGCAGAATCAAAGTGGACAGCCTCTGAAACACAATGGTATGTTATTGGGAGCCTTTTTCTGAGTAAAGAAAGCAACCTGTCATTGGAAGAATACCACCATCAATGGTTCCCCGTGCACACACACAATGGAGGGGAAAGATTTTTCTAAAAACCTAACTAGTTCATGGTTTTGTTCGGGTAACATCTTACCTATCATGAGACAAATTACAAAGCTACTCTGATTCCAAGAGCCTCTGACAGAAGCCACACTGGAAGTGTTCAGAAAACCTGAATTAGAAGATAGCTTCCTAGGCCTGGGCAGCAAATCCCCAGCATACGGAGGAGCCTAAGGTTTTGTGTCATGGGCCTGTCAAAAGTCTGACAAGGCCGTGTTCACGTTGGCCCTGATTTTGGAGCAGAGGCACAAGGAGAATTGAAGGGTTACTGTGAGGACCTGCCAGGAATATCTTCCTGGAATTCTCTAAAGGCCAGAAATTCACAGCAGCTTGGGAGAAGATATCAATCACGATTCTTGCCTCATTTAGAATAACTTATTGTTTTGCTTGCAAAAGACTGGAATCATACATCGGGCAAGCACTGTTTTTCTGCACTGAAGGACAAAGGCAATCCTGGTTAAACCAAAGATGCTGTAACAGAATCTGTACCAGCTTCAAGACTTCAAAGAACTAGCTGGGCTGAACTCAGGAGGAGGGTGAATAAGAACAGAGCAGATGAGCTCAGGGCACAGCCACTTAAGGAGCAGGAGTAGAGGAAGGTTGGGGTGTTGGAGCTGGGAGAGGAGACTGAGGAGGCAGCCCTGTGCCTATCCACGGTCTTCCTTCCACCCAGGTGACTTCCCATCTTCCCCAGGAGCGATCAGATATTTTGCTTTCTTCTAGACCTAGTTCAGATCCCTTCTTACTTGGGAAATCTTTCTAGTGCTCAGTTCATAATGCATCTTCTTTCTCTAGTCTGTGTCAATACTGAAAAATTTACCATTTAATTAATCGGGTAATTTCATTTCTTTAATCAATAATTTCATTCACTTATTCAACAATCCAATGCTTAGTGAATCCCCACTGTGATCTTTGTGCCAAATATACCAAAATGAATGTCACAGTTTTATGACTTTTCTTTTTCTTTCAGCTTTTCACTTTAACCTATTCTCTGGTTCTGTGTGCATGTATTTCCTAATTCTTGCATGAACTATTCATACCATTTTTGTATTCCTCATGGTCTTTAGATTGTCAACATATATTGCACCATTCAGTCGTTTAATAGATGCTTATTTGCTGAACATGGCCTGGAGAACCTTGAAAGTCCTTATTTTTTCCCCAGCATTTTCCTACCATTCTGAAATATATCATTCTTTTTTGGAGGATTAAGCTCCAGATAATATCGAATTATTAAGAGGAAAAAGTGATGTCCCTATGCTGCTGCTGTGGGTAAGGAGGAAATGCTGTGGAAAATGTATAAAGCAGTTCTTGGGACATAGTGTCCTCAGTTAGGAGTTGCGTCCTCATTGCCCATGAGAACCTGGCCTACACGGAGTGGATTACTGTATTTTTGCAATGCAATGAAATATTGTAGTTGAAAGGCTTATGAAAGAAATGCAGGAACCTGGAGGTAAAGTAGTAGAGGCTGTGAGGGTTACCCTGAAGCTTTAAACAACTGTGCTAATTAATTATGTTTAGAAAAAGTTAGAGTGAGATTTATCTTAAGAGTACTAACTGATTGTGATTGAACTTTAGTGTTGAAAGCTTAATGAAGCTATGGGCCTCAGTGCAGAATCACCACAGCTCATTCACCATCCATCCTGTCTTCTCTTAACTTTCAGAATCCACACCCAGTCAGAACTCCACCTTTTTAAAAAGCCTTTTTCATAACTCAGAAAAATCCATGTATCCAAGTTTTATATGCATATATCTATAATCTCTAATGAAAGTTTGCTTTGTTTGGTCTGAAATTTAATTTAATAATTATTTCCTCCCTTTCTGGAACACTTTTTGATCACAATTCTACATATTTATTCTGAAGAGCCTCATTCACTTTGCTCCTTGGAAACATTATCCAGCTCGAGCCTGGAGAGCTGGTCTCAGATTCCTGATTCTAGCTCCTGGGTGTTCGTCTCTCTGTAGGGCCTTTTTCTTCTCCTGGCCCACAAACCAACTCCCGCCACCCGGAAGTCCTCTCCATGTGCTGCTGGTTCCCCAAAACACCATTAACAGGACATCTTGTCCTGGAAGGCCTTACCTGAACTGACCTTTGGACAATATTTCTCTTTCAGTTAATGGAATAATGAGGGATGAGAGCCAAAGTCCACAGACTCTTAAAAACTGAAGGTGAAATGTAAGGGAAAACAGAATGCTAGAAAGGATATGGCAGGATTTCTAAAGTGTGTACCCTAATGAAGCAAGGGAATGTTGAACAGGAGCAGATATAGTGGACATAAACTTAAAACTGTTAGGCTATTTTGACTGTGTACCTGGCCACCATGGTGTCCTGAAGTCAAGCACGTGATGTTGAACTCATGGCATTCAA